GGGACCTGCACATGATGGTGAGTGGTACCTGAGGCACCCAGAGCTCACCTGTGTCACCTGGGGCTGCTCTGGGGTGTAACAGAGCCCACCTGTGTCACCTGGGGCTGTCCTGGGGGTCCCCAGAGCTCACCTGTGTCACCTGGGGCTGTCCGGCGTGTCACCTGGGGGTCCCAGAGCTCACCTGTGCATCAGGGCTCCCTCTGGCACGTGTGACATTGTCCCATCTCGGTGTGACCTGATCCCAGCATCGCCTTTGTCCCCTCCTCGCTGCCATCCTGGGGGTCCCCCCACCCCTTTCAGTGTCCCCCAGGGTCACCCCAGGGGAGGGGACCCTGCTGTCCCCCCCCCTGACCCCCCCTGTCCCCCCCCCCAGAAATACCCCCCCAGCGCCACCACCCTGCACTTCGAGTTCTACGCCGAGCCGGGCGTCGAGGTGAAGGTGGACAAGAGGGTGAGTGACCCCGGGGAGTGACCCTGGGGACATCTGGGGACACCTGGGGGTGCGGGGGGGGGACACACGAGGAGCCCCCCGAAACCACGGGGGCCACCCCCTGACCTGCTGTGCCCCCCCCCAGGCCACCAGCACCACCCTGCACTACATCCACATCGAGCAGCTGGACAAGGTGAGCTGGGGGGGTACCTGGGTTTGGGGGGGTGGGCTTGGCTCGGGTCAGGGACCCCCCGCACCCTGCGCTGCCCCCGCGTCCCTCTGCCCCCCGGCTTTGTCCTCTGCCCCCCATTTTTGTCCCCTACACCCCAAGTTTGTCCCTCTGCCCCCCAAGTTTGTCCCTGTGCCCCCATTTTTGTCCTTCCCCACCCCAATTTTGTTCTTCAGCCCCCCAATTTGTTCTTCCACCCCCCATTTTTGTCCCCTACACCCCAAGTTTGTCCCTCTGCCCCCCAAGTTTGTCCCTGTGCCCCCATTTTTGTCCTTCCCCACCCCAATTTTGTTCTTCAGCCCCCCAATTTGTTCTTCCACCCCCCATTTTTGTCCCCTACACCCCAAGTTTGTCCCTCTGCCCCCCAAGTTTGTCCCTGTGCCCCCATTTTTGTCCTTCCCCACCCCAATTTTGTTCTTCAGCCCCCCAATTTGTTCTTCCACCCCCCATTTTTGTCCCCTACACCCCAATCCTGTCCCTCTGCCCCCCAGTTTTGTCCCCTACACCCCAGTTTTGTCCCCTACGCCCCAATTTTGTTCCTCTGTCCCCAAGTTTGTCCCTCTGCCCCCCAACTCGGTGCCCTGCTCCCCGCAATTTCTGGGCCTCCCCTCCCGCAGATCTCGGAGAGCCCCTCGGAGATCATGGAGTCCCTGACCAAGATGTACAGCATCCCCAAGGACAAGCAGGTGCGTGGGGTGACCCCGAGGGGACCCCCCCGGCTCGGGGGGTGACCCCCAGACCCTCCCTGACCCCCCCAAACTCTCTGTGCCCCCCCCAGATGCTGCTGTTCACCCACATCCGCCTGGCCCACGGCTTCTCCAACCACAAGAAGCGGCTGCAGGCGGTGCAGGCGCGGCTCCACGCCATCTCCATCCTGGGTGGGGCTTCGTTAGGGGCTCGTTAATTGGGGGGTGGGCCGGGGGGGCCGGGGGGGCAGCGTGGGGTGACCCCCCCCCTCTTTGCAGTGTACTCCAACGCGCTGCAGGAGTCGGCCAACAGCATCCTGTACAACGGGCTGATCGAGGAGCTGGTGGACGTGCTGCAGATCACCGACAAGCAGCTGATGGTGAGCCTGGGGCACACCTGGGCTGTCACCTGGGCTGTCACCTGTGCTCTCACCTGGGCTGTCACCTGGGCTGTCACCTGGGCTGTCACCTGTGCTCTCACCTGGGCTGTCACCTGGGCTGTCGCCTGTACTCTCACCTGGGCTGTCACCTGGGCTGTCGCCTGGGCTCTCACCTGGGCTCTCACCTGGGCTGTCACCTGGGCTGTCACCTGTACTCTCACCTGGGCTGTCATCTGTATCCTCATCTGTGCTGTCACCTGTGCTGTCAGGTGTCTTGTTGCTTGTCTTGTCACCTGTTCTGTCAGCTGTGCTGTCACCTGTACTCTCATCTCTGCTGTCACCTGGGCTGTCACCTGTCCCATCACCTGTGCTGTCAGCGGTCCCATCACCTGTACTGTCACCTGTGCTGTCAGCTGTCCTGTTACCTGTCTTGTCACCTGTCTTGTCACGTGTACTGTCACCTGTCCTCTCACCTGTTCCCTTACCTGTCTATCACCTGTCAGCTGTACCCTCTCCTGTCCTGCACCTGTTCTGTGCTGAACTCGTCGCTTCGCTTGTCTTACACCTGTCGCCCAGTTGTGCTGTACCTGTCCTACACCTGTTGTGCTCCTGTTGTTTCACACGTCTTGTGTCTGTTATTTTACCTGTTCTTCCACCTGTTCCTTCACCTGTTTCTTCATCTGTTGCTTTATCTGTCACATGTCCTGTCTCTCTTGTGTCCCTGATGCATCCCCCATGTCCCTCACCTGTCCCCGTGTCCCTGATGTGTCCCTGACGTGTCCCCCATGTCTTCTCCGTGTCCCTCACCTGTCCCCCCTGTGTCCCCCGTGTCCCTCACCTGTCCCTGTGTCCCTGATGTGTCCCCCATGTCTTCTCCGTGTCACTCACCTGTCCCCCCTGTGTCCCCCGTGTCCCTCACCTGTCCCCCCCTGTGTCCCTCACCTGTCC